CTTTTTTGAAGCAGGGTCTCCCTGTAGCCCCAGCTGTCCTGGAGCTCACTATGTAGACCAGGCTGGCCTTGAACTCACAGAGATCCACCTGCCTCTGCCTCCCAAGTGCTGGGACTACAGGCGTGTGCCACCACACCTGGCTACAAGAACTTTTTTAAAACAAAACAAAAACCTCCCTACCATCAACTGCATCTAGGCACATCACCGACCCCTTATCTCTTTAGAAATTCTGGGCAAAGATCATATATTGAAACTGGTAGGAGGCTAAAGCCTGCTAGGTCATAACACTCTAAGGTTAAACAGTGTTTTACTGTGGGGGTCATTCCAACTTAAGTGGCATCAGTTCCCACTAGAGATACCTGGCAACCCAAACCCAAGTTGTGGATGAGGATGCCATGATGGACACATGATAGGGTCCAGAGATCTCTCAGTGGGATATCTCTCAGGGAACTCCTGGTCCTTTGGACCATTGCCCTCTTTGTCCACAGATACCTCTTTCTTTTAGAAATCCAGGGGAAGCACCCTCTTAATCCTGTCGAAATGTCCACTTGGCTGTATCCTTAACCATTGAAGACAATTTGACCATGGTACCTTACAGAGGAAGTGCCTTGTCTTTTTTCTACGGTTTATTCCAGCCATGATGGAAGTTGAAGAAGACACTCTGATCTAGCATTATATTTCAATAAGATTCGTTTTCTAAAAGACAATTAGTTGTCTAAAAGACAATTAGTTGTACCCATGCATACTCATACACATAAAATAAAATATTTTTTAAAAATCAAAAAAATTATTCATCAATAGAAATTATAAAAATTTATATACTAAAGTTCAATATTTCCCAAAGTTAAAGGTAACCACTCCTCATAAGCCTGTAGCCATAAAATTAAACTGGCCAAAACACCAATAGAATTTCAGAATAATATATTATGTCACAAACTCTGAACATCAAATAAAACATTACATGGAGTACAAATAATACTAGACATAGGGAAACATAGTCAATATAGTTAAAGATGTGAAGCTTCAATGGTGAAAATGCCTGATTCATGTCAAGAAGATAGCTCAGCTGATAGAAGGCCCTTGCAGCCAAGCCAGACAAGTTGCATCTCAGTTACATCTCCAGAACCCACATGGTGGAACGATGTTGTCCTCGGACCTCCAGAAGTGCAACATGGAAAGTGAAAAATCACAGACACACACACAATGTAAACACATGAATAATATAAATGCCTGACTCATTTGCTGCCTTTACTTCTATGAGATGTACAATGTTCTTGATTATTTTACCTTTAGGTGTGGTGTTCCTACATGTATGTCTAATGTAAATGCTATATCAAATACTGAGAAGAAAAAATATTGGGCTCGGATCTTGGTGGCTAGTAGATTTTATGATATGATCCTGGGATTTCTTCCTTAATGCCTTTGCCAACTGCTTTTCTCTTCTAAAGACTGTGTTCCTGAAAACTTGGTCTGAAATAAATATTAGATTCCTGCATACTATCAGAAATGATAAGATCTATGGGCACCACTAACAAGAAATTTTCAAAACATGGGCATAGAAGTCATACAAGGTAAATGCATAAAAAAATCAATGAAATCGATAATAGACAATTTCCATAATCTGGAAGGAGCCCATCCAGATTCAGGGGGCATTTAGAATGACCAATAGATAAGACCTAAAAGAACCTCCCCTTTTCCTATCATCACTAAAAACAAATTTTACAGAATATTGAATTTTGAAAAGAGAAGCATCAGGGCTGGAGAGATAGCTCAGCGGTTAAGAGCACTGACTGCTCTTGCAGAGGACCCAGGTTCGATTCCCAGCACCCACATGGC